AGAGAGAGAGAGAGAGAGAGAGAGAGAGAGAGACAGACAGACAGACAGACAGACAGACAGAGACAGAGAGAGACAGACACAGAGAGAGAGAGAGACAGAGACACACAGAGAGACAGAGACACACACACAGAGAGAGAGAGAGACAGAGAGATAGACAAAGAGAGACAGAGAGAGACAGAGACAGAGAGACAGACAGAGACAGAGACAGAGAGAAAGCAGAGACAGAGGGACAGAGAGAGAGACAGACATAAACACAGAGACACACAGATAGAGAGTGAGAGTGTGTGAGAGAGAGATGTTGTGGCATCTGACATAGAAGTGATGGGCACTTGGATATGTAGAATGGAACTCATCTTGGTGGTCCTCTCAGGTGGATGACAACAGATCCCCCATTGTTTCTCCAAAACAATGTTTCTCAATCTTGGCAACTTTAGAAAGAATAGAATAGAATAGAATATAGACTATAGAATAGAGTAGAGTAGAGTAGAATAGTTGGAAGTGACCTTGGAGGTCTTCTAGTCCAACCCCCTGTTCAGGCAGGAAACCCTATACCATTTCAGACAAATGGTTGTCCAATCTCTTCTTAAAAACTTCCAGTGTCGGAGCATTCACAACTTCTGGAGGCAAGTTGTTAAGATGGGTGGACTTTAAGATGGGTGGACTTCAACTCCCAGTACTCTACTGAAATATTTTAATTTTCAAAGCACTCCCAGAACTCCCCAACCCAATATTTTAATTTTCAGAGTACTAATGGACGTGGCTTTTTTCCCCCGCAGCTCTGTCAGTACCATCCGCAACCAGCGTTACCACATCCATGCCAATCTTTCATTTGCTGTCTTGGTGGCTCAGATCTTGCTCCTTATCAGCTTCCAGTTTGACCCTGGGACGGTGAGTGAAATGGATGTTCTTCTGAATTGGGCGTCTACCCAGCCATGGCAGAGAATAATAGAATAACAGAGTTGGAAGGGACCTTGGAGGTCTTCTACTCTAACCCCCTGCTCAAGCAAGAAGCCTTTTATCACTTCAGACAAATGGCTGTCCAGTCTCTTCTTAAAAACCTCCAGTGATAGAGGACCCACAATTTATCATAATTGATCTCTGAGCTTGACAATTTGGATGCAAACATTTCATCTCCATTCGTGGGGACATATTTAGTGTGCTTTGAATTGTGCTTGTCTGTCAGAGCACTGGTCTTTAAGTACCCTTTTTGTGTGATGTAAGTTGGTGTGGGTGTTACTTATTCAGATGTTTCTGAGTCATGGTCACATGAGCCCAATTCAAAGCCCACTGAAGATGTCCTCCCAAATGGAGACAAAACGTTTCCAGCCAAATCTCCAAGCCTGGAGATCAAATCAACAGCCGAACTACCAATCCAAGCTACTTATATTCAAACACATCTCAGTCATAATTTATTGTTAATTCATCCAGCTAATTATAGAACATAGAATGACAGAATTGGAAGGGACCTTGGAGGTCTTCTAGTTCAGGGGTCTTCAAACTGGGCCCTTTTATGACTTGTGCACTTCAACTCCCAGAATTCCTCAGCCAGTGTGCCTGTCTGAGGAATTCTGGGAGTTAAAGTCCACAAGTCATAAAAGGGCTACATTTGAAGACCCCTGTTCTAGTTCAACTCCCTGCTCAAGCAGGAGACCTTATACCATTCCAGACAAGTGCCTGTCCAGTCTCTTCTTGAAATCCTCCAGTGATGGAGCGTCCACAATGTCTGGTGGCAAGCCGTTCCACTGGTTTATTGTCCTCACTGTTGGGAACTTTCTCCTTAGTTCCAGATTGCTTCTCTCCTTGATTAGTTTCCATCCGTTGCTCCTTGTCCTACCTTCAGATGTTTTGGAGAATAAACTGATTCCCCCCCCCTCTTCTTTGTGGCAGTCCCTCAAGGACTGGAAGACGTCGATCCTGTCACCCCTGGTTCTTCTTTTCACTTTTCACAGCACACCGCTCAGCTGAGAAATGTCTCAAGGGTTATCCAAATATTTATCTCTTCCACCCAATTTTGCCTAAACTGAACGTTCCTGCCTGACAATGTTCATTGTCCCCCAATTCTGCACTCCTTACTCTCTTTTGAACGGCAGGCCCCGGCCTTTTAAAGCGGACCCCTCTTTATTTTTAAACAGTTTGTCACCGCTTCATTATATGGCGGCCACCGTGATGACAGGCATATAATGTCGCTGGCATTTAAATAAGCAGGTTATTCATTTCACATTTGCTCGACAATAGTCGGTGCACGGTAAACATGACAAATGTTTGTGTTTTCCCTTTGATTTGCACCGAAAAATAAAGGCAGAGATTAATCATAACGCAGCGGTTGCTGTTTAACTTGATAATTAATGCTATTAATAACCATAATGATAATCATGTGGTTTCATCGGAAATTCTCCTGGCCTTTGGTCAAACAGGGGACCCCCCCCCTTTGTTTCCCTGGGAGAAAAACAGCACAGCAGAGAGGCAATACAACACGAAGAAAAAATTGTATTTTTAATGATAATATTTCCTGGGTTTTTTCCCCTCTTGCCTATGTGTGAACATTGATAAAACAGGCTCAGTTCCCACCTACAAAACGCAAAAAAACCCGATTCCATTCACTCAACGTAACGTTCTATCTGGTTTCAGTTTATTAGAGCCGAGTTGTCAGTTTGAAGGTTTTTCTTTTTCCGGTCCTGGGAGAGGAAAAAAAAAAAAGATAAAGTAATAATAGGCAGCAAAATTTTCTCTATTCGTCACTTTGAGAGGATGGCGTATAGAGGCTGCCATTTTTTTCCCCTGCAGTGCTCAGAAATTATTATTATGATGATGATGGGGTGCTGTTGTGCATTCTGCCGGTTAAGAAAAAAGGCAAGTTAGAAATAAATGGGTTGTACTCAGTGACTTAGTAATTCACGTTTCTGTCCTCCAGCCTTACATTTGTTTTGCCCCATTTCGATGGTTAGTTTGGAAGTGTTTTGCAAAAAAAAATAAATCTGTGTGAGGTTGATCTCAGTTGCCTTCAGCTTAGAATGTACAATTTTATTGCAATTTTATGCAATTTTAGGCATCCATCCATCCATCCATCCTTTTTTTTTTTTTTTTTTTGCATGCGATTTTACCCTAATATCTGCCAACCCAATTAAACCTCCCCTTCAACTCAACCTCTTTCGTTGTTTCTGGACATCTTCCTGTAATTCTAACAACATGTTAAATTTATGGATTGAGATATTTGTTAGTTGCGAAGTCGTGTCCGACCCATTGTGACCCCATGGACAACATTCTTCCAGGCCTTCCTGTTCTCTACCATCTTCTGGAGTCCATTTAAGCTCAAGCCTACTGCTTCAGTGACTCCATCCAGCCACCTCATTCTCTGTCGTCCCCTTCTTCTCTTGCCCTCCATCTTTCCCAGCATTAGGCTCTTCTCCAGGGAGTCCTTCTCATTAGGTGGCCAAAGTACTTGAGTGTCAACTTCAGGATCTGGCCTTCTAAAGAGCAGTCGGGGTTGATCTCCTCTAGGACTGACCGGTTTGATCACCTTGCAGTCCAGGGGACTCGCAGGAGTCTTCTCCAGCACCAGAGTTCAAAGGCCTCCATTCTTCAGCACTCAGCCTTTCTTATGGTCCAACTTTCACAGCCATACATTGCAACTGGGAAAACATGGCCTTGACTATACGCACTTTTGTTGGCAGGGTGACGTCTCTGCTGGATTGAGATATATGAACCTCTAAATATTGTTTGGCTACCAAATCTTTGACTAAACATGCAGCCTTGGACTCAGCAACATCTGGAGGATTTTAATTTCCAAACTCCTGATCTAGACTAGCCTTTCCCAACCCAGGTGAATATGGAAGAATCTTATTCTTCTAGATAGATGGACATCTTCTACAGTTTAGATCAGCTATCTCTTGATTTAGGACTGATGGGAATAGTCCTCAGAAGGATCATCTCACTGTCTCTATCTGGAAGTTGGCTGATCAAACAACATCATCACGATTCTGGGTAGACTATAGATCCAGGAAGCCTGGAGCAGGTGGTAGGGTTTAGTTAACCTTGGTTGATTTCCTAAAATGACATCAAAAATCCCAGCAGTGTAGGCTAAGCAAAGAAGTAAAAAAATATAAATATCCTTGGGATGAGAGAATGTCAAAATACACCCATCTGGGTATGTTCATGAAGTCTGGAGGAACTGTTCTTGAGTTAAGAAAAAAAATAAAATATCTAGACAACAGGGAATGAGGTGTGGGTGTGGGGTTCCCTTAAACTTTTTCTCCAATGCACCAAGGATCCAGTCTTGGAGAAGAGAAGAAACATTCTAATCTTGGCACAGCAACTAGGTGAAACTTCAGTGAACGTTGCCTAGGTAAGCTGAGTCACCCAGTTGCTAAGCAACTTTACAGTGTTTGTCTAGCTTGCAGCATTGTGTCAAAAGCTTAATTCAGTTCTTCCAATGAAGAGAAGGAAGCGCGTGTGTGACAGGTGGCAGCAGAGATGCTGACCTACAGAAGCTTGGGAAGCAAAATGATTTTTTTTTTAAAAAAAAGCTTTGTGACTTTCTCTAACAAGAAGAAATCCTTCCATGTCTGGATTCCAATTGATGGGAAAGAAGGAGATGACACGTTAGACCAAGATGAAGTAGGACTAGGGCAAAGAAGTCGGATGGAGGAAACCGGCACCAAACGTGGCTGATTCTCTATCCAACTTCTCTGGGTTACTCTTACGGCTCATAAATCTGGTTTTCTGTCCACCAATGGCAATTTAAACCTGTCACTCTTCTCTCTGATGCCATCAGTTTTCTTCTGATCACCCCTTCTAGCTCATCGGAGGCGGCTCTTAGCAGTTACAACAGTTCATCAGTGGAATGACTTTGCCTCCAGAAGTTGTGGGTGCTCCAACACTGGGGATTTTTGAGAAGAGATTGAACAACCGTTTGTCTGAAATGGTATAGGGTCTCCTGCTTGAGCAAGGGGTTGGACTAGAAGACCTCCAAGGTCCCTTCCGACTCTATTATTCAGTTGAGAACTGAAGAAGCTTCTTGGTTGAGAAGTGAAACTTCTTCAAGGGGAAAAAATGGCCAGTTGCCCTTTGAAAACGCACCTTTGGGATGGCTGTTCTGATGGTGTGTGTGTGTGTGTGTGTGTGTGAGAGAGAGAGAGAGAGAGAGAGAGAGAGAGAGAGAGAGAGAGAGAGAGACAGAGAGAGACACAGAGACAGAGAGAAAGAGAGAGACAGAGACAGACAGACAGAGAAAGGCAGACAGACAGACAGAGAGACAGAGACAGAGACACAGAGATACAGAAACAGAGGGAGAGAGACAGAGAGAGAGACAGAGAGAGACAGACAGACAGAGAAAGGCAGACAGACAGACAGACAGAGAGAGAGAGACAGAGACACAGAGATACAGAAACAGAGGGAGAGAGACAGAGAGACAGAGAGAGAAAGAGCGACAGAGAGAGAGAAAGAGACAGATAGAGACAGAGACAGAGAGAGACACACACAGAAACAGAGGGATAGAGACAGAGAGAGAGACAGAGGGACAGAGAGAGAGAGAGAGAGAGACAGACAGACAGACAGAGAGAGAGACAGAGAGAGAGAGACAGAGAGAGACAGAGGGACAGAGAGAGAGAGAGACAGACAGACAGACAGACAGACAGATAGAGAGACAGAGACAGAGAGAGACAGAGACACAGAAACAGAGAGAGAGACAGACAGACAGAGACAGAGACAGCGAAACAGCAGGCACCACTAAACTGCATCTCTTATTAAGTTCAGTAGGTGCAACCCTTTTTGACCATCTGGGGCAAAGATGGGAAGACTTCTTCTCCTCGTCTTTCCTGTTCATTTGGCTGGTTTGTCTCCTTTGCAGGTGCCCTGCAAAATCCTGGCCATCCTCCTTCACTTCTTCTTCTTGAGCACCTTTGCTTGGATGCTGGTGGAAGGGTTCCACCTCTACAGCATGGTGATCAAAGTCTTTGGATCCGAAGAGAACAAGCTCTTATACTACTATGGCATTGGATGGGGTAAGTCGGGCCTCGTTTTCCCCTTAAAAGGGGGGGGGGGAGAGACATTAATGATGACTTCACAGGCGTAGAAGAAGGTTCTTGCAAGCCAACCAACCATCAACTCTTTTTTTTTAATTTTTATTATTTAAACCAACTAAACAAAACAAAACATAATTTATTGTTTATTGTTTATTTATTTATTTATTGTTTGGATTTTTATCCCGCCCTTCTCCTTGCGGACTCAGGGCGGCTGACAGCCTGGTAAAACAAATACAGAGATAAAAATACCCACTTTAAAACCTAATTAAAATGAAATATTTGATGTGGCCTGTGTCAATTTAAAATTATTCTTAAAACCCCACTAAAAATTCCCCCTAGGCCAGTCCCGCTTGTTGGAAGAGCCATGTCTTAAGGGCGCGGCGGAAGGAAGGGAGANAATTTCGTAACAGTAATCTTCTATTATTTACATTTCCCCCCTTATTCTTCTTTAGAGTATTTGTCCTTGTTGCCCCATTATTTCTTATTTGCATTTTTCTTCCTTCATACATTATTATACACACATTTTCCACTTTTAACCTTTCCACATTTATTCTCTCTTATTTCTACTCTCCAGCCAGTCATACCACTTGTTCCATCATCGACTGCTGAATGTCACTGCCCTGGATCGTTGTCTCCCACAAAAAAGTTCTGTGACTCCTTCTCCTCTTCCTTCTCCTTCCTCTTCTTTTGACCTTCCTCTTCTGCAGGAAGGTGTGATGGAGGACATTTAGCTGAGAACCCCCCCCAAAAGTAGGATTTGGAAGACAGCTGCAGGATCAGACAATGGTAGAAACAAGGCCAGGGAGGGTTGTTTTCATTGAGTTGCGTTGAGGAGCTTCCCTTCCAAGTTCCATTGAGCTCGCAACATCCCCTTGACAGCACGGGAGAAGAAGAAAAAAATATTAATCAGAATGAAAAAAAGTATCCTCCTTAAATCTTAACGGTCTGCAAAGGCAAAGAACCAGAGGGATGCTTTTTCCACCGTAGAGACGAAGCGGTTGGCTATATAAATTGGACTCATAAATAAATGAAAAAATGAAAAGACCCTCCCTCCTTTCAGATTCTAATCAGAAAATTGCCCGATTACCTCTGGGATTCAGTTGCAAGACAGCCAGATCATCCCACTTGGAAAACAACGTCTCTCAGCTCTTCTGCTGCCTTCTCCATCTTTTGCTTTACCCTTTTCCTAGTAATTAACCCATGCTTAGCATCTTAGAATACCAGAAGGGAAGGGCCAATATTAAATTTTTTTTTGCATCAAACCTTCTAGCTCCCTACCTGAAGCAACGACTTATTCATTATTTAATTTGCTTGTCGGCCTGCTTGCTTGCTTCCTGGTTGGATTGCAGTTTACCGGAACTAAATTCAGGCCTGTAAAAAAAACCATTAAAGAAAGGTAGAACTTCTCCATATTTTTGCTAGCTTCTAGACCACCATGCCATGCATTATTCTTTGGGGGGTCTCAACAATGGAGAATATTTGTAGCTCAGGGTTGAAATGAGGGCTCCTTGGTGCTCTCTGGGCTTGGTGGTTTCCTTGCAGATGTTTCATGACCCAACCTAGGTAATATTATCAGTCCTTGGTGCTCTCTGAGCTTGGTTGTTTTCTTCCAGATGTTTCATTACCTAAACCAGGTAGCATCATCATTGCTGCTGATGTTACCTAGTTGGGTAATAAAACATCTGCAAGAAAATAACCAAGCTGAGAGAGCATCAAAGACCCCTCATCTCTGGGGTCTATTCCTGGGGATTAAGCTGTCCCTAATGGGAAGAATTCATATTCATCACGATTAATTCACTTCCAACAAATTAGAAATGAGTGTTTTTTTAAATACCGACAAGTATCTGACAGACTGTTTTCCTGTTTAAACAACTGTTTGTAGAACATCTCCGTGGGGGTCTTTCTTGATTGCCTTTACTCTTAAGTGCAAGTCCTTTTTATATCACAAGTTGTACTTCTGTTCCTTGTCCTCTGGATTCAAAACAGAGTTGTGCTAAAGACATTTGCCAAAACAGAAAGAAAGAAAAAAATCCTGTAATAATTGTAAGACAGAGGAGCAGGTATCCCGAAAGCTATTCTGAACTAATGGAGGAAACAGGAATGACTGAATCCAACCATCGCTCCCGATATTTTGGACAAGAAATGAACATTAAAGAATCATGAGGCTCGACACTAGCAGCCATTGCTCAAGAAACCTATTTGTCCCCAAATGCAATGTGAAATGGCGTATATTTATGGCTTTTTAATGATTCAGTTCATGTTTAATATACTTATGACACAGCTGGATCTCCAGCTGTGCAGAATTCCACAGATTTGGATTCGAAATCACCCTTCTGACAAAGAAGAGCTTGTTATAGAAAGATAGATAGATAGATAGATAGATAGATAGATAGATAGATAGATAGATAGATAGATAGATAGATAGATAGATATAAATACTGATGATAGATAGATGAGATAGATAGAAGATAGATACAAGATAGATAGATAGATAGATAGATAGATAGATAGATAGATAGATAGATACCGTAGATATAAATACTGATGATAGATAGATGAGATAGATAGAAGATAGATACAAGATAGATAGATAGATAGATAGATAGATAGATAGATAGATAGATAGATAGATAGATAGATAGATAGATAG